CCCCCCCACCTTCCCCCCCGCTCCTTCCCGGTGCCGCCGCCGCCGCCATGCAGCCACCACCGGGAACTCCCCGGGTTTGAGGATTTCGGTGTTGGAGTCTCCGCGAGCAGGTAATGAGGGGGCTCTGGATCTGCCCGTGGGAGCGGGGTTGGGAAGGAGGGTCTTGATGCGGCTCCGGTGCCGCCTCTGGGGATCCCCCTCCGGTAACGGGTGATCCCGGGGTTCCCGCAGCGGGGGAGGGACTCCGCCGGGCTGCGGCTGCCGGGAGCACCGGAGCCGCAGCGGGTCCGGGATCGCGCCTTCGGCCTCTGCCTCCTACCCTGCGCTCGGGGCTGCCGGAGTTCCCTCTCCCGGTACCGACTGCCGGGCGCTCCCGGGCGCCAGCGCTGCCCCCCCCACCCCGGGCCGGGCTCCGGCGAGGCTCCGCTAGCTCTACACCCCACCGGGCACCGGGCGACCGCCGCGGAGCGCGGTGCCGGGCAGCCCACCGGGGGCTTAGGCCGGGGACCGGCCGTGCGCTGCTCGCTCCCGCAGCGGCTGCCCGGAGCCCGGCGGGGAGCGGCGGAGCCCCCGCGGGCTGGGGGCGATTTGGGGTGCAGTCCCCCGGCACAGCGGGGACCCCCACCGGGGACGGGAGCAGCGCCCCAAGCCGGGGCGGGCCGGTGCGGAGACAAATCTGTGCGTCTGTCCCCCAGATCTGTGCGTCTGTCCGAAATCTGCGCGTCTGTCCCCCAAATCTGTGCCTCTGACCTTTGACCCGGTTGGTGGCAGGGGCCGCCCCGCAGTTCTGCGGTGCCGGGGGACACACACGGGGGGTCCCCAAGCCGGTCCCCCCGCTCCGGTGGAGCCGGGCAGGCAGCGGCTGGCGGCTCCCGGTGCAGCGCCCGCCGCGGCCCCGCGCCGGGATTAGCGGGTGACGGCTCGGTGGCTTAGCGGCCCCGCGGCCGCTGCTCCCGGGCCATATGTCACCCGTGGGCCCCCACCCTGCCCTTGGGGGTGACCTTGCTGCGGCTCCAGGATGCGCTTGCTCCCCTGGGTGCTCGCCCCAGGGATGCCCGTGGGTGGCCTGGTGGGTGTCTGGCCCCGTTGCTCGAAGCCCCCCTAAGGTGACACGGTGACACCGAGATGACAGGAGCAGGGCACTGCCCTGCGCCTCATCCGGAGCTGCCTGGTGTCTGCGGCTGCTCCATCCCACGGGGACACCTGGCTTCACTCAGCTGTCCTCATTCATCCTCCGTGTCCCCGTGGCAGCAGCAGCAGCGTGGCGGCCACGGAGCCTGGGGACGGCTGTGCCACCGCCACCGCCTGCCCTGCGGCGCTGGGATTCACCATCCCGCCGCTCTGCATCTATTTATATCCAGGAGGTTCTGGTGTGACAACGTGCCACATTTGGCCGCGCGTGCCCTGAGCCGCCGTGCCCTGAGCCACTGTCCTGGCAACGTCCGGCGCCGGCGCTGCCACAAAGAGGCTGCCTGTGCTCTGGGGGTCCCCCAGCCCTTTTTGGGGCGCTGCTGCAGCACGCCGGGGCTGGAGGAGCTGCGAGTCCCCTGCAGTGCGTGCCTGGAGCCTCAAGGTGCCCCATGCCGTGGGGCACCCCTGTGCCGCAGGGCCCCCTGGCAGCGCCAGCCCCGGGGGGGCACGGCGAGCGCGGCGAGGGGGGGGTGCGCGATCATATCTGCGGTGACACATGTGCTGATTACGGAAAATGGGTTAATCTCCCTGCGGCTGGAGGAGGCTTAGCGGGGGGTGGCTCGTGGCAGGGCCCGGCGAGGGGCCGCGTGCGCCCGCCGTGGCCTCCGCTGTCCCCGCTGAGCCCCGGCTGCCAGGCTGTGACAAGGGACACGGCAAGGGGACGCGGCAGCCAGCCTGGGCACGACGCGGTGGGTCGCGGAGTGGTGTGGGCCCCCCCAGGTACATCGTGTCTGGAGGCTGCCCAGGCTGGGGGCACGGTGCCACCAAACCCCGGTGCCCGCGGGTGTCGCACGGCCGCCTGCGCGCCGGGTCCCCCCGCGCCGTGTCCCGAGCGGCCCCGTGCCAGCTGCACTTGTCTGCCGGCTGTCGCCGAGCCAGCGAGGGCTGTCTGGGGCTGCGCTGTTCCCGGCACGCCATTCCCAGGGCGCCGGCTGCCGCCGCAGCCTCGGCTAAAAACAACCGGGACTGCCGCGAGCGGCTGCTGGGGCACCATCCCCCTGCTTCCCAGAGCCCCTGGGGAGCTGGGATGGGGCACTCTGGGACCCCTCAGATGGGGCACTCCGGGACCCCTGGGATGGGGCACTCTGGGACCCCGGGGATGGGGCACTGCGGGACCCCTGGGATGAGGTCCTCTGGGACCCCTGGGATGGGGCACTCCAGGGCCCCTGGGATGGGGCATTCCAGGGTCCCTGGCATGGGGCACTCCGGGATCGCTGGGATGGGGCACTCTGGCACCCCTGGGATGGGGCACTCCAGGACCGTGAACCCTGGGCCTGCGCTGCTTTCATCCTGGAATTGGGATGCAGGGAGGGGATTAGGCTGTGGCTGGGGAGGTCCCCTCCATGGGCAGGCTGGCAGGGGTGGGTGTGTGTCCCCAGGGTGCTGTCCCCGTGGTGTGAGGGGCGTCATGCTGGCTTGGGACACGGCTGGGCCTTTGGGACTGGCCTGCTCCTCTCACGGCACCCACGGTGCAGCCGGGCCGGAGCGGTGCCAGTGGCGGTGTGGCACAGCTGTGGCCATCCCAGGGGCCGTGGCGGGGGCCGGGGCACCTGTTCCCGCAAAAGAATGGCGCGTCTGGTGGTGGGTGCGGGAGGTGTAACCGGAGCGGCGTTCCCGGCGTAACCGGAGTCGGCCTGGCTGCAACAGGTGGAATTTCAGATTGTGGCTCCTGGCGGCAGCGAGATGTGGGGCGCTGGGGTGAGGACCCACACTGCGGGGCCAGTGGCGAATCCCTAGGGTGCCTCCGTGGGCTGGGGAGGCCAGCATGGACACCATCCCTGCCAGTGTCCCCATGGGCCAGCGTGGTGTCCCTGGCCCTGTGGCTGAGCTGGGGGAGCCGTGGTGGCTCGGTGTATCTTGCAGTTGGCGTTGGGATGCTGGAACGCCGGTGCTGCGGTGGGGCTGAGCAAGCCCTTGGGTCGGCTGCTGGCCCCAGGGAGTAGGATGCAGGTCCTGGGGTCTGCACTGCTCTCAGCATCCTCAGATTCCCGTTCCCAGCAGCCCCAACTCTGGCCGAGCGTGTGCCGCTGGCTCCGGCCGTGCCGCAGGCTGGGCATGATTCACGCCTGCCCGGGGACGTGAGAAACGTGACGGTGACTCACCGTGGAGAGCTTTGGGGATTCGGGAGAGGGTCTCTCCCAGCAGCCCTGTCAGGGGGGCACCTCACCCCCCCTGCACCACGCTGGCTTGCCCTGGGGACGGCCTGGAGGGGCCGGCGGTGGCGGGGGGCAATGGGGGCAGCCAGGCCCTTGGCCTCGCGTGCGAGGCCACCCCGGGCTGGCTCTGCTGCCAGCGAGGAAACCGCAGGCTGCAACCGCAGTGGCTCCGCAGGCGCTTCCTGCCCTGCCCCGAGGCTGCCATCCTGTGCCCCCGTGCCTCAGCACGGCAACCCCGCTCTGCCCACACGCCATGGGGACAGCCTGGCACAGGGAAGGTTCCCACTGCCCGTTCTGCTCAGGGTGGGGGACACGGGGACACGCACAGCTGCCAGGCTTGGGGAGCGCAGGATGCTGCGGTGGCGATCCCTGCGGTGGCAGCAGGGACAAGGGCCTGGGCTGGCGGGTCAGTGGGGTCACTAGTCGGTGGGGTGACACGTCAGTGGGGCGACAGACTCCAGGGTGGCAGGGGAGCAGGGTGAGGGAGTCTGGGCTGACGGGCTGTGACAACTGGGCCGGGGCTGAACTGAAACCTGTCCGCCTGGGAATCGAGAGTGGCAAGGGGAAGCTGCGGCCGGGAGCGCGGTGCCCGCCGGCGTGACAGGAAGGGCTGGGTCGCTGCCCGCTGCCCTGCCAGGCACCCCCAGCGCCCCCCGGCCCGCTGGCCCCCCGCTGCTGGGGGTGCCAGGGCGGCGCCCCCGCTCACCGGCGTGTCACATCCGGGCGCTGGCGCTGCCATCGCCGTGCGCCCCGACAGGAAGCACAGCTGGGTTTGGGGGTGTCACACGGGCCGGGCTTGGGGTGCTGCCTGCTCCTCCGCGGGTTTTGGGGAGTGTCGGGGTGGGCTGGGGTGGTCGCTGGGGAGGGGGTGTTGTGGCGTGGCCGTGCTGGTGGGACCCTGGTGGCTCTGTGGTTGGTGCTGGATGTGGCTGTGGGTGCTGAGCCCAGCCTGGGGGGTCACGCTGGGGGGGCTGCCTTTTTGGGAGGGGTCTCTTGGGGGACTGTGCCAGTGCTGCCTGGCCTGTCTGGGTGTGCACGCGTTTTCGTAGAGGGCTTTGTGCTCTCTTTGGGGTCGCAGTGGGATGGTGGCTTGGGCAGCTGTGTCCCCCCCAGCCATGGCCCCCCAGATTATGTCCCGCACTGCTGCTGGCCCTGGGAATGCTCTGCTCTGCGTGTCCGTGCGTCTGTCCATCCGCTCCCGGGGGCCACCCCCGGCCTGGGTGGGAGGTTCCTCGTGGCTGCATTTGGCCCGGGCCCCGCAGCAACGTTTTCCACGGGGCTGGAACGAGGCGCTGGATTCCAGGAAGCTCCGGGCCTCGTCCAGCTCCTGCGGGGACTGGAGGAAAAGGCGTTGGGGCGGGAGAGCACGGGCCCTGCCGAGGGGGCTGCACGGTGACCCCACGCTGCTGACCGGGGGGGCTCTGGGGTGCAGAACACCCAGGACCCCCATTTGGAACAGCCAGAACCCCAATTTGGGGACACCCAGCTGTGTGCTGGGGGCTGTGGCAGCGCATGGTCCCAGGGGAGCTGCTCTGGGCAGCAGCTCCTCCTGCCCACCCGGACCCACGGCAGCAAGGCTGGCCATGATCCCCAAACCCTCCTGGGCACTTCTGGCTGTGTGGAGCAGTGTCAGGGGTGTTCTTGGGGTGCACGGTGACCAGGCCAGCGGCGTTGGCCTCGCTCGGTCCCTGGCCGGCGGCGCGTGTGGGGGGGCCTGAGCGGGTTGAGTAATTGGGCCCCGGCACGGCTGGCACGGTGCCCGGCAAGCACTTGGCACCGGCAAACATAAACAGTTCTTCCCGCGCCTCCCTCCCCTGGCTCCCCCCGGCCAGCACAACTCGGGGGGCCACGGCCTGGCCGGGGTTTGGGGGGGGCCATGGGCAGTCCCCCACGCTCAGGCCGGGGTCCCTGCAGTGCCATGTGTGCCCCCCACGCGAGGGCTGCCCCCAGGATGGTGCTGAGCTGGTGTCCAGCACGGTGCCCTGGGAATGCCACGCTCACTGCTGGGCTGGGGGGGATGTGATCCTCACCCAGCCACTGATGGGTGCCCACCCTATGGGTGACAGGAGTGCCCACCCATGGGTGCTTCCCAGTGGGTGCTGGGGTGGGTGGGAAGGGGGGTCCTGCCTGTAGTGGATGCTCCCAGCTGGGTGCTGGGGGGGCGGGCAGGGCCATGCCCATCCCGGCCCCTCCCCAGCGCCTTGCCGGGCGGCCCAGCCTTGTTCCTCTGGATCCTTTTCCGCCTCCGCGGGGCCGGGAGCCAGCACTCTCGGCAAATAAACAGCCCCCGCCGGGCCCCGCGCCAGCACTTAAATAAACAGCCGGCCCGGGATTGTGAAAGCCCCGCGCCCCCCTTCCCACCGCCCCCCGAGCGGCCGGGCCGAGGGGTCCGTGCCCACCTGGGCACGGCGTGGGAGCTGCCGGCACACGGCGTGGCACATGGCACGGGGCAGGGTGTGTCACGATGGGCACGGCCCAGCCCTGAGGCTGGCAGAGCCCCCAGGGCTGGTCCTGGGGGGCTGAGCCCCCTCCCCATGAGGGGCCGGGGGGCTGAGCCCCCTCGGGGTCCATGCAGGGATTGGGGGAGCAGCCGGAGTGGGCGCGTGGCGGTGATGGCAGAGCCAGCCTGGAGCGGAGCCGCTGTCCTCAGGGGACCCCAGAGTGCCCGTGTGTCCCCCCCCCGTCCCCAGCTGCCCTGCAGCCCCCCCAGGCTGGGGCAGGGGCTGCTGCCTCCGTGCCCCGCTGCGTGCCCCGTGTGCCACGCCTGGCCTGGCGGAGCAGGTTTGGGCTCGTGGTGTGGCCTTTGGCTGGAGGGGCTGTCCTGTGGGGCCACCGTGTCCCCAAGCCGTCCCCACACCGTCCCCCCCGGCCCGTCCCCCCCAGCCAGCTAAGCTGGGATTAGTGAGCTGCGCCTGCCGGTGCCGCCGTCCCGGTGTCGTTAATCGGGGGGATCGGCGTTAATCCCGCACGGAGCCCCAGCCCCGGCTGGCTGCGCCCTCCTGGGGCCGGGAGGGGATGTGGCCCCGGGGGGGCTGGGGAAACTGAGGCACACATGGTGGGTGACCTCACAGGGGGGACTGGGGAAACTGAGGCACACCTGGTGGGTGACCTCACGGGGGGGGGCTGGGGAAACTGAGGCACGGCTGGGGAAACTGAGGCACGGCGGGTGGGTGACCCCACAGGGGGGCTGGGGAAACTGAGGCACACATGGTGGGTGACCTCACAGGGGGGACTGGGGAAACTGAGGCACACCTGGTGGGTGACCTCACGGGGGGGCTGGGAAAACTGAGGCACAGCTGATGAGTGACCCTACAGGGGGGCTGGGGAAACTGAGGCACGGCGGGTGGGTGACCCCGCAGGAGAGCTGGGTAAACTGAGGCACGGGTGATGGTGACCCCATGGGGACTGGGGAAACTGAGGCACGGCTAATGGGTGACCCCACAGGATGGGGGGGGTCAGTGGTCCCAGCCCCTGTGCTAATGCCCCTCTCTGCTTCCCCCGCAGAGCTGCAGGACCAGCGCCAGCTGTGAGGACAGCCCGGCAGCAGGGCACCCGCGGGCCCCATGCTCTGCTCACCCCCGGGACCCCGCAGCTGAGAGCCCCCCGCAGCGCAGAGCCCACCATGGCCAGCAACAGCAGCTCCTGCCCCACGCCGGGTGGGGGGCACCTCAATGGCTACCCTGTGCCCCCCCCCTACGCCTTCTTCTTCCCGCACATGCTGGGGGGGCTCTCGCCGCCCAGCACCCTGGCTGGCATCCAGCACCAGCTTCCCGTCAGTGGATACAGCACCCCGTCACCTGCCAGTGAGTACCTGAGGGGGCTGGTGGCACCCCCAGTGCTGGGGGGGGTGTGGGGACAGCGCTGGGCCAGGCTCTGTCCCCACTGTGGGGTGTTGGTGCCAGTCCCAGGCGGGTCCATGACGTGTCCCTGGGGCAGTGGCACTGCTGAGGGGGGGTCTCCCTGCTCCCAGCCACGCCTGCGGGGGCTGACTTTGAGGGCTCCATGATGCGAGTGCCAGGTGCTTTTCCCCGTGTGTCCCTGTGAGTGCCACTGCTGGGGAAACTGAGGCAGGGAGCGGTCAGTGGCCTTGGTGGGGTTGTTGTGTCGTTAATTGCGGCCACCTTCGTTAGTGGCTGGTTGTTAATGGCCTGGGTGTTGCTGTCCCTCACGGTGACCAGCCTGGGTGCCGTGTCCCCACGGTGGCTCTTTGTTCGTGTGGCGGGGCTGCCGTGGGGGAGGCCGTGAAGACAGTCATCACCGCGGCTGCTCCCGATTCCATTTCCCCGTGACAGCGTCGTCCATCACGGCCCCGGTAATCACCGCCTGCCGTGACGGCAGCTGGGAGCCGCCGGAGGTGGGCTCCCACCCGGGATCCCCCCAAACCAGCGTGCCTCAGTTTCCCTGGATGCCATGAGGTGGCTGCCGGACCTCTTCTCACCCCAGCCCCGCGCTGTTCCCTGCAACAGGAGTGCCCTGCGGCGCCCGCTGCCGGGGAGAACCCCGTGGCTCGGGGCGTGGCGGGGCCCCCCCGGCCCGTCCTTGGCCCCGGGGGCCGGTGCAGGTCCGGGCAGGGCCGGCCCTGGGTGCTGTCCCCCGCCGGAGCCGCCCCGGCGGCGGTGGGACCCAGTGGGACCAGTTCAGCGACTGGGTGTCGGCGGGTGGGGCCACTCCCCCGCGCTGGCTCTGGGGCCATTCCGGGCGTGTGGGAACAGGCTGGGGGGGCCGCCTGTGTCCCCCCCTTCCCTGACACTGAGGACACGGCTGGAGGGTGTCCTGAAGCAGGTGGCGAGCCGTGCCTCAGTTTCCCCTTGCCCTTCCCTGCTGGCTGCCCGAGGGAGGCAGGGGGTGGGGGCACCATGTGTTGCCCCCCCCATTGCACCCACCCAGCTGGGTGCCCTGTTTGGGTGGGTCCTGCGGTTTTGGGGTGTCCTGTGGTGCCCGTGTCTGTGTCCCGCCTGCGGGGGGCCGGTGCTGTCCCCCCCTCCTCATTGTCCTGCCCTCTCCAGATGTGCTGCAGCTGCACGGCCCCGGGGCCGATCTGGGGGTGCAGCTGCCCCTCCCGGGATTGGGGTCGGACCGGGCAGCCCAGCGGGGCCGGGATGGGCTGGGAGCTGCGTGTGGGCACGTGTGTGCTGCCATGATGGGTGTACACGCGTGTGCCCTCTGCGTGGAGCGGCGTGTGCGTGGCACAGTGAGCTGCTGCTGTGTGTGCACAGCTGGGGCTGCGCAGGGTGTGCACACGTGTGTCACACCTGTGTGTGTGTTTGTGTGTGTATGTGAGTGCCCTCTGTGCCTCTGTGTACACACACGTGTGTCACACCATATATGTGTGTGGGTGTGTCAGTGCCCTCTGTGCCTCTGTGTGCACACACATGTGTGTGTCAGTGCCCTCTGTACCTGTGTGTGCATGCACACGTGTGTCACACCTGTGTGTGTGTGTGTCAGTGCCCTCTGTGCCTGTGTGTGCATGCACACGTGTGTCACATCTGTGTGTATGTGTGTGTCCCTGTGCTCTGTGCCTGTGTGTGCACACACATATGTGTCATGCGTGTGTGTCAGTGCCCTCTGTGCCTGTGTGCACACGTGTCACACCTGTGTGTGTGAGTGCCCGCTATGCCTGTGTGTTGGTGACACACACAGATCAGGGTGTCCTCTGTCCCTGTGCCAGGTGTGTACACGCATGTTGGCACGTGTGCCACCGCTGGCTTGCGCCTGTGCCCCCATCCCCATCCCTGGGGGCTCTGTGGCGCCTGCCTGTCCCTGCCTGTCGCCTCCCCTGTCCCGTGGCGTGTCTCGGGGGTGCGTGGGGGTGTCCCTGTGCAGCCCCCCTGCCTCGCCCTGATTCCCAGGCCTGGCTGCGGGCAGCGGGACCCCAGCGCAGCCCCCCCGGCCGGGCTGCCGGGGCAGGGGGCCCCGCGCCCGGGCTGGCCTGTCACCCTACCCGCTGGCTCCGGTTTCCTCGCGCCGCCGCCGCTCCCCCGCAGCGCCCCGTAATTAATTAATTTTTAAAAATTAATGAGCAAAACGTGCTCCCTGCAGGCCGGGGGCCGGGCTGGGGGGCCGGGGGGCCCCGCTCGGGGCAGTGGCCGGGGAGCCCCGCGGGGGGCGCGGTGCTGGGGACCCCCCCGGCCCCCCCAGCCCTGCCCGGGGAAGATTGATGAGGCGCTGGGCCCCCAGCCTGGGAAAGCCCATTAGGCGGAGGTTCTCTATCACTGTCAGGGGCCGGGGGGAGCCGCCTGCTCCAGCCGGGAATTCGCCGGGCTCAAAAGCGGCTGAAGGGGATAAATGGGGTCTTTTGAAGTGGGCGGGCGAGAGGGGGGCTGCGGGGCCCCGAGGTGCCGGCGCGGCGCTGGGGGAGGGGATGCTGCAGCACCCCGCGCTGGGCTGGGGGGGTTTGGTGGGGGCTGTGACCCTGTGATCCCAAACCCGCAAAGGGGGTTCTCTGTGGGGTCGGGTTTTCATCAGCCTTCTGGAGGCAGCTCTGTCCCGCCCCCCGGAGCAGCGCCGGGAGGATGCGGGGCTGGGGGGATGCGGGAATGGCCCCGTTTTCCTGTCCCCAGGGGTGTGCCTGTCCCCCTCACACTGCGGGATGACGTGCGGGGTGTCCCCTCGCCCAGTTCCTCTTGGCTCTGGAATTAAGGCTTTGATTTTTTTTTTTTTTTTTTTTTTTTTGGATAATCTCTGTTTCTTCCTGTTGCCGGGAGGGGATGCGGGCCGGGAAGGGATGCGGGGAGCGGCGCAGGAAGCGGTGCGGGATGGGAAGCGCTGCCCGTCGGGGCGGCCCCCGGCCCGGCCGCGCGGTGCCACCGCCCGCGTCCCCTGCGCCGTCCCCTCCGTCCCCTCCATCGCAGCCACATTCTTTCCAGCGCTGGTAAATGAGTCAGAGCAGACATTTGTCATGTTCGCTGCAGGAAGTTGGAGCAGCGCTGGGCTTTTGTTCGAAACCTGCTGGCTAAGCAAAGCCCCGACTTGCCATTATTATTTAAACAGGCGCTGCCGCGCTGCGCGGCCCCGCACGAACACGGGGACACGCACACGCGTGACGGCCACGCACAGGGACAGCCACACATGTACGGGGACAGCCACGCATGTACAGCCACACACACAGGGACAGCCACACATGTACAGCCACACACACAGGGACAGCTATACATGTACAGACACACATGTGTACAGCCACACGCGTGACAGCCACACACACAGGGACAGCCACACATGTACAGCCACACACAGGGACAGCCACATGTGTATGGACACACATGTGTACAGCCACATCTGTACAGCCACACACACGGGGACAGCCACACACACAGGGACAGCCACATGTGTACGGACACACATGTGTACAGCCACATGTGTACAGCCACACATATGGGGACAGCCACACACACAGGGACAGACACACATGTGTGTACAGCCACATGTGTACATCCACATATGTACAGCCACAGCCACGGTTACAGCCACACATGTACAGACACACACACGGGGACAGCCACACACACAGGGACAGACACACACACAGGGATAGCCACACATGTGCGGCCACACACACAGGGACAGCCACACATGTGTGTACAGCCACATGTGTATATCCACATATGTACAGCCACAGCCACGGTTACAGCCACACATGTACGGACACACACACGGGGACAGCCACACACACGGGGACAGCCACATGTGTGTACAGCCACACACATGGTTACAGCCACACATGTACAGACACACATATGGGGACAGCCACATGTGTGTACAGCCACATGTCTACAGCCACAGACATGGTTACAGCCATACATGTACAGCCACACACACGGGGACAGCCACACACAGAGACAGTCACACACATACAGTCACACATGCGCATAGAACAGTCACACGTACACACACACGCAGTCCCAGAGGCACACGCCTGCACACAGCCACACGCAGCCACGCATGTGTGTGAGGCAGTGCCCGCAACACGCCTGTGCTCCTCCTGCCCACGGCAGGGCCCAGCTGGGGGCTCAGTGGGGCTCCTGTCCCCCCAGGGCAGCCCGGGCTGGGCAGCAGGAGATCACCACAGAGGGAAGTGGCACCCCAGGGCCTGTCCTTGGCGTGTGACCGTCCCCGCTGTCACCAGGGGGGTCCCTGGGTTTGTGGTGTCAGCTGCAGCAGGGGCTTGTGTGAAGGGCTGGTGTGGTGGGGAGTGGTGGCGCGTGGTTCTGTGCCCGGCAGGGGCGACACGCCAGCACACACATGTGCATGCACACACAGATGGATACAGTGG